TTATTTTTTTTTTTTTTTTTTGGGCTTTAGTATCAGCTGGCTGTGGGAGCAGGAGAAAATCTATCACTGAATGCACTGTGTGAGGATAGGATTGGGACATCTCTTGCATTCTCTGTGCCTGCCTCTGCAATGTCCTGTGATAAGCATCTAGTCTTCTTGGGGATTACATCTGCTGCACAGTCCTGCCAAATGCACTTTACAAATAAGACTAAACTGTCCATCCACCATCTTCATTTGTTTAGCACTTCACTCTACACAGGGCTTGAATACTGAAACAGGGTGAACAGACCACTCCCCAATTCACCCATTGTAACTGGCTGCTAAAAGTCATCTAAAAGTCAATGGATTCAGGGAAGAGGTCATATAAAACCAAGAGGTCTGTGTATTACTATATCATTCAGAGTAACTAGTATGAACACCTGAGTCTCTCTGATAGAAGCCACAACTATTTCACCTGTATGGATCCTGCTGAACTCATTATTGAATGATAACAAGGTTGTCAGTAGATGACATAGCAATGAGATCCTTTACAGCAACGTCTTTTGAAAAATATGCTGTGGGTAAGGATCAGGGGGGCCTTGTCTGTGCTCCCCCCCTATGGCTTCTTCCCTGCTCCCCCCAAGACAAAGATGGGCTTGGTTCAAGGAGAAGATAATTTGTCTGGTCACATTCTGAGAGAAGTTCTTTCAGAGGATCTGAGATGCCCTATGAGGCCTGCAGGGAATACAGATGGGCCCATTAAAGTGTCAAGCTTTCCCACAGAACTACAGCTTCCCACTGACAAATCAGCTCCGCAGTGCTTCGGCAGATAGATTACCATAACCAGCCACCAGATAGCAGACCCGTGCAGAAATCTTCCCATTCCCTTCACATCCTCTGCTGAGATCAAACCGGTTTACATTGACACATATCTGATGGAATAGCAGGAGAGGAAATAGAAATGTCAGCAGTGAAATGCTCCTTGACCGCAATGACAGGAGTCTCAACCTCTGAGCTGATGGGGTGACAGCCAGGGGGAGCAGCTTCACTCCTAACTTGAGCATAATTTTTTTATCAAACACGCTAACCTGAAATGCTGGAAAGCAAAAAAGGTTGGTGACCTCTTTCAACTCCTACCATTTTCTCAGTTTTCTTCTACTCACCCTTTGCAGAAAACATTGCAGTGTTGCCAGACTTCATCAAAGACGGTGCAGTGGAGAGGAAGTGATTTGCACTTCCTTATCTGGACAAGCTTAGTCCTGCCATACTTCAACTACTTGCTGTCTTTCAGATCTCAGATCTCACTATCTCTAACTTACATACATAAGCCTATTGCATTTAGTAAGCAGGTGCAGTATTAAGTACGGCCACTTCTCCCACTGACATTTGACAACAAGCAGCCCTATGGATCCCCAAATTTTGTAATTTTGCTGCAACACTGTTGATAAACATCAGCATAATCAAACAATGTATTTCAGGATTTCCACATATATGGTCCTAAGCTCCGAGACTTTCAGTCCTCTCCTGAGATTCTCTGCCTTTTCAAAACTGAGTCAACACGAGTGAACAGACAAGCCCCACCTCACACACACCACACACACATACACGCAGGGGTCTGCATTTCAACTATCAAGTTTTAAAAAATTTTATTTTTGCAAACTCCACCAGATCTAGAGCTGGGAGGGACAGGGGGGAAATTTCTGAAAATCCAGCCCGACTTGGAGAAGCAGGGCATTTCACTATCTTTTTGTTGCAGGCATCCATCAACCCTTCTTCTTACACGACACACTGACAGACTGGAGGGCACAGGTTTCAATCCAGCATTTCAAATTACCAGAGCAGCTCACGTCAAGAGAGGAAAGAGATCCTTGGCTACAGTTCCCATTTTGCTTCAGACACTTTTGCTTCCCACACTTCCCATTTTGCTGGCAACAGGATCCTACCCTCCTTCTCCCCACTCTTCCAGATACTAAGGGCAAAACAACTCAGGGTGCCTGGCAAATGCCACCCTTGTAAGCACTCAGCTTTACTGGGATCCCATTTCTTCCCTTTTATCAGCTACTCTTTCCACTTACATCTGCTTTCCACCTAGGAGTTGCTCAGGCTAAGCACAGTCTCTGCCTCCACTTTGTGTCAGGGGAGCCAGAAGGACAGGTTTTGAGAGCAGGCCCTCAGACTTCCCTCTCCCCCACTTTGCTCCAGCAAGTTCCCACTACCAGGAGTCACTATCAGCTGAATCACTTTGTTGGACTCATTCCTTCTAGGAAACATGCCCTCCAGGTTCAGATCAGCTCTTCTGCTTGAGGCCCGAATCTCTTGGTTCCTCTGCAAGGAGAAGGTGACACCAACCATTATTCTCACAGTTTTATTTGTAAAGGACATAGCATGAAAAGCTGTATTTCAATGTACCCCAAAACCTGAAAAACCCATGTCGGTTTGTGGTATGTATGTTAAAGTGCTTGACATAACAATACTTTTACTGATGTCGTCTTGAAAATAATCCAGTTCTCATTTCAGTTAGTAGTAATGTAAAGACAAAATATACTTAATGGAGACATTTAAGGATCATTTTAAGCTATATAGGACACATTTGTACATTTCAAGTGTAACACACAATATTTCCCCTTACGATGCGCACCTTCATTTGATTGAAAGAAGGAATTTTCCCAAATATGCTGCTGCGCAACTATCCTAAAAACCACATTTTTGAACAATGATATCTAATTGCACAAACCAACCTGGAATAAACATGAGCAGATTTTTCACTAAACAGTACAATTTCATTTATTTCAGAGAATTATAAATACATATTTTGTACACAGTGAGGCATTTGATTCTCTGACTCCCTCAAGCTACTATGCTGGGTGTTAGTACAACAAGACTATGCAAACTCAGACATCTGCAGACGGGCATTGGATAGGAATTTTTATTTTTTTTTTTTTTTTAAAAAGCAGATACCAGAGAGCTTTGGTCTTTTCCAAGATTCCCTTTCTCAACCAAAGAAGGTGCTTTAACACTGAAGTAAAAACTGTGTTAGCTTAGAAGAATCCCAATGGGTTTCTCACTGTGGGTAGAATGATTTCTGTAAACCTTACAGAAAAAACCTCACAGTTTCCAATTAACAAAAGTAGTCCACTAAAAAAAATTAATCATACATTAATCATACATGGTAGAATAAAAATTCATTATGAAGAACTGTACTCCCAAGGTTGTCAAAGAACTAGTCTTCTAGGAATCTGAGGCACTCAGCTGTGCCCCTTTCAACATATCTTAGGGTGGTTTATTGCCTACAAGGAAATATGAGACATACATAATTTTTATTGTACTATTATTAATATGATGTGAAACCTGACAACACCAAACAAGTCAAGACTTGCTGAAAAAGCTGATGTGAAGTTGTGTTAAGTGCTCAGAGGTTTCTTAATGTAGTTTGAAATGGGGAAAGGCCCTGATTTGAATTTTTAAAAGTCTCAGCTTTTGACTTCTTCTAACTTAAGAAAGACTTCATGTAGTTATTGCCTTTTTCTCTTTGTGTGGATTATTCATTTAGATGAATGACCTTTAGAGGTGCCCACATTTCTACTTTATCCTGCTTGTGCTTAACCCTTGTCACCTCAGATGACTGTTATGACTGCTTAAGTCATATATAGCCTTTGGAGAAGTATGCAGCAGTGTACTTTGGGAAGCATCCAGCTGGTAAATGCAGATGATTATGTGAAGAAATCCAAGGACTAAAGAGGTGGTTATTTCAGTAAAATGAAAGTCACTTAGACTGGGTTGGGCGTGAAAAAATCCTGTATAGCAGTCATTAGACATAAAAGGCCTGAGCTGTAATAGAAATCAAAACATCCCAAGCAGCCATTACCAAATAATGCTGCCACATGGTTTCTGGTGCTAAATGTATAATTCATTGATGGAATTAAGTACTAGGGATGCATTTTCAATTGCTGCTGAAGGTTTGTCATGCATAGTCTGCTGACTTTAAGCAGACTTGCCTGGTCACACAGAAAACCTTAACACCCCAAATTTCACATTTCTAGAAATGTAAGAGAGATGTCATGTGGCTACTGGGTTCTGGCTACTCACTCATGACACCATTCACAGACTGTATGATACTCACACCCACAGCAGGGACATGGCAGTGCTGCCTACAGTACTTGGGATGAACTTAGTCAGTTTAAGGAAGCACAAGCCCAGGAGGAAAGAACGGTTATGAAATCCTGGAACCCTCATTAAAGTCGAAGACTCCTTGACAGTGTTATTTTACTTCTTTCTTAGAAATAAAAAAAAACCTTCTGTAACATAAAACTCTGTCTTCCAATGAAACAAAGTCACAAGAAGAGTTTTCTTCTGGCTGGGAATACGACATGAAGCTTTGACACTAAAGTGAATGCTGTTTTAAGAACTGGACAGCAGGAGGACCACAGGAAAGTAGAGAAGCTTAACAAAAGGTAGGCGAGAAAGCAAACCTCAATTCTCGTCCTCTTTCCTTTTCCTTATCTCTCATCCCTCTTTCCACAATGTGCACACTGTGCCAAGACCTACTACTGTCCACCATTCCCAAGTCCCTTCTAATGCCACGTGAGAACCCAGTGCAAGGCAACACACTTACAGTGCCAGTCAGGGGCCTTTCCCAAGCCACAGCTGAGAGTGAGACTGTCTTTCCCAAGAAATCCACTGACAAAACCCCCAAGATCATAGGGAATAAACAAATGGAAACAAACACCTACATATTCAAACTAACCTCCAAAACCTAAAACCAGGTAAAGCGAACTGTGTCCTCAGATTCTTCCAACTCCCATCCACAAGAATGGAAAATATACTCCGTATTTGCTGCATGGTATTTGCAAGATAATTTTTATATAATCTCTTGTTAAATTTGTAGCATACAGGATTTCAGTTGCTCCCAGTTCCTCATTAGGAGCTGTATCTAAATATATATGCTCCATATTAGTAACACATTAACTGGAAAAACTGTAGGAGAGAAGCCTCAAAACACCAAAGTGAGATTCACTTTTTTTCTCCTTTTACTGAAGTCCTTTTCTTTTTGTAGCTGGATAATTTAAATTAAAAAAAAAAAAAAGTAATCAAAGATCCTGTACTCCCCTAGGAACACTCATTCTGCAGGATAAAGGAAGACTTATAATCTGTCGGCATTTCGAAGCCAGCTGATAGAGTTCAGAAGCACAGCAAACATCGGTGTTTGTGGCTCTACAGCAATGGTTCTTCTCAAGCACAGTAAGAATTTGGTATAAACCAAATTCCTCAATGTGGGGGAAAAAAAAAAAAGGTCATCCACAACATAAACTGGCCGAGGATGAGGAGGAATCATCAGAATGTGCAGACAGAAAAGGGACACACTGAGTGAGTCAAGCAAGCCATGATTCCCTATATCAGGCTGCAGCAGCACTGCTTTAACAGGTGTCTCATACTCTCAGGTTCTGAGGCTGACAGCAGTCCTCCTCTCCAGCGTTTAAGCAATCCAACACGTTTCCCCTTTTGGGGATCAACAGAAGTGACACAAAAGAACTTACAGGAAAAAAAAAAATGACAGCTCACAACTTCCATGCATGGAAAAGTGAGTCTTCAAATAAACAAAAAACTAAGAGAGACCATGTTCAGTAGGGTAAACCAGCATATGCTTACAACATTTCCAAGAGTGACACAATCACAATGGCTACATAAGGATATTTGCTGTATTAATTTGCAATACCTGAAAAAAGCCCTGCTGAGTTTGCGCTGTATTTACACACCGATTGGCTTCTTCCTTGCAAGCAAGTAGCTGCATCCCTTCCCACCTTGGTCCTTCCCTCCCCCAAGTCCTTCCCCCGGGTTTAACCTACTCATAGTCAGAACAAGAACATTCAGTCTAAGAAAAACTTCTTAGAGTAATATAATTTCTGAAAGAAGATAGCATATTTACACACATCTAAACACATGAAAATACTCTATTTTTGTACTAAATTTCTGTTTCAAATAAACTACAATACTGCATCTTAGCTTTCTGCAGCTTTAGAGGACAGTCCCCACCGGGCACAAACTGGGCTTCCCAATTCTGCTTCAACCGGCAGCTTTGCCTTACAGTGGTGCACTACCATCGTCTTCAAGTCCTGACAGGTCTCCAACTGTGGTTTGCTTGCTTGGGAAAGGAATAATGAAGTTCTCAGCAAAGCCATGCTAAACATCCACTCCTTTGATGAGTGATCCTTCTAGGATGATGTTGAAATCTTGCAACGTCTGTAGCACTCGGATAAGAGAGTTGACAGTCATGCGGTCCCGTAGGAGAGCATTCTCCTCATACATCCTGGTAATGGGCGGGCACTCTGCCAGTAATGGGATCCACTGGGAGAGCAAGTGGTCCCTGAAAAGGGGATGAAAGGAAATATTTTAGCACCAAATACAATGGATCTCAAACTGAAATTCCTCTCCAAGAACACGACCCAAAACACGCATTCCCTCTTTGTGAGTGGCGCGTGTTGTTTGCACACAAATGTTTCCTGTGTAATTACAACTCTTGATTTTGTTAGTAAAATACTACATATTGTAGAAACAAAAAAGGGAAAGGTATCAGCAAAACTGCACATTTGTAAGAATTTTCAGCAACATTTTCAGATCAGGAACAAGTAAAGTAAAACTCAGACAAAACCCAACAGACTGTTTTCCAACTGGCTTTCCAAGTATCCAGACAGACAAGACAAAAATGGTATCTATTTCTAAACATACCATCTTCCACCCTCCAAAACACAACTGCCCCCCCTGCCCCAACTGCAAGACAGAAAACATCCTATTAGGAAAGAAAGGTTCATCTAGAATAGTTTTGTCAAAATTATAACAGACAACCCATTTTCACAGGCAATTCAATGAGGATTTAGAAATTCACCAGCTCCTGAAAAGGAACTCTGCATTCCCCAAATCAGTACTTCATCAAAAACAGCATTTCAAGGCAGATTTCATATATATGACTGTCAAGCTAACAGTTATAAAAAAGCTCAAAGCATTTTTAGCAGTTTAGACACTAGCCATGTATCATTCTTGCTTCTTTGCTCCAATTTTTCACATAGTATTAAAGCTGCCTAAAATAAGCATGTCTTAAAATGGAAAACTAAAGGTAATAACATCGGTGCAAAAATATTCTAGTCTACTGCAAGAAGACATATAATGCAGAGCAGTCAGGTACCTCGTCCCCAGGCAAACCAGGATTTGGAATTTGCCATCCTTTCCAATGTTCCTTGGAGCTGTATTGATGGCATTCACGTAATGACAGAAGGTTTTGCATGAAGATCTCTGAAGCAAAAGGGCCTCCTCATTGTCTCCAATCTGATCACTGGTTTCAAAATAAGCAACAGCTTTCTCTGTGGAAGGGAGAAAATCCGAACTCGGTGAGCGGAAGTACTTCATTACAACACAGGATTACATAAGGGAGTCCTTAAAAGAACAACCTGCTGAGAGCTCTTGCACAGTTTATATATGGATTCCTCGCTCTGAAAACCACAGCAGTGGTCAGACTGGCTGGTGTCTAATACAGTCAGGTAACATCAAGGAGCTGCTCCAGAGTGCCTATCAAGGGTTTCACTGTAAGTGATACCATCAGCTTTGATTTTTCACTTTTTCTGAGTAAGCACTGAACCTCAGGCTGGGTATCTCAGCCTGTGAGCTTGTTTCAAAGGAGTAGGTACATCTTAAATTACTGCAACATAGGCCTACAGGTTAAGCATCACCAGAAGGCCAGCACAGGGATTAGGAGAGTTCTCAAGAACACCTTGAAATCTAAAACTTTCATTCCCTGCCCTTTTCCAGCTCTCCTCTGAACATCAATTGCTACTCTACCCTGACCTCCAGCCTAACTTCTTTCTGGGTAGAAAAGCAGCTGTCTGAACATTCATCTACAAATAAATGACAAGAATCTGAAGTACTCTTAAATTTCTGTACAGGCTCACACTCTTCCCTTACACAGAGTTTAATATTTCTCATCTTCCAGCTGTTTCTTATTGACTTTTAGCAACCTGGAGCAGGTGCTTGGCAGGAGAAATGGCATCATAGATGATGAGAATCCAAGGTCAGGGTGTGTCAGTAGTCATTTTGCCCTAATCTTTCTTTCCCTTCTGCCTCCAAATCACCTAGCAGCTTACCTATGAAATCCCAGATAAAGACGTTCTTATGAAAAATGCGAGCTGATTTGAATCCATGGTGGAAGAACTGCTCCAGTGCTGCAACCAGACCGTTTTCTCCACACAAGAGAATGGTAAGGCTCCCTCTCTGTGGGAAAGGGAGAGTTGGTAAATACAACTTGCTTTGTTTGCATGCCAGAAAATACAAATCTAAAGGTAGTACATCTACTGGTACTTGAGTTTCATTTCTGTTTATAAAAATATGCAGGCAAGTAATGAAAAGCAGGAATTACCTCTTTCTCTGGCTTGTGAAAGTGTTTCACAATATTGTTCACAGCTTCCCCGATTCCCTCTTGGATCTGTCCCGCATTAGGCTCTGTGAAATGATGGAGAGCATATTAACTGAAGTGGTGGTTTTTAAATGCCGCGTTACTTTTGGATGCTAATCTTTCCTTGCTTGACATTTCAGCAGTCATGTCCTCTAGTTTTACAGGAGCTGCACAGATGTATGAGCAGGATCTACACTATGCTTTAGCAGAGAAAGCCTTGCGTGACCTTTACAGTCCCATATCCTGTTGTAGCCAGGTGCAGTTATTCATAAAAGTTAATTTTAGGGATGTGAAGCTGATGTCCCCTAAAGTCCCCCTGGAGATATGCTCCTCCAGAAGGCATCACAGCATCCATATCAAGCTCTGAACTGCCCTTCAGAGAGAACTTCCCACTGACTGCAAAGTGAGCTGGGAAGCTGAGCAGCATTAGCTACTGCAAATTCTGCTGCCTCCTCCTCCCTCATCTCACATCTCCATGCTCCAAAGAAAGAGATTATTATCCCTCAACTGTCAAATGGGGAAAAGAGGCAATGTGTGCATCACGGAGCAAACACAAACTGGGGCAGGAAAAAGTCATCAGCTTGCAGCTGTTCCTCTGCACCAAGCCTTGCTTCAGGACGACCTCTCCTGTTCACTGGAGATTTTTCTTCTCAGCAGTTGCTGCCCCCTTCTCTAGGGCCCTGGGGAGAAAGGAAAGGACTTACTGGTGTTCCTGCCTGTGAGGGAAGTGATGCTCAGTCGCCGAGCCATGGTAGGAGATTTCTGCTGGGGTGGGGTCCGGCACTGCTTTCCCAGCTCTTCATCAGACGTGGAGGACACCAGCTCTCCAATGAGTATCCGTTCCAAACTGCCATCATCGACACCTTTTCCCAGCCATCGCCCACAGGGGAACCTGCCACACACCCAGGACAAGCACAGGTCAGACACACATGTAGTGCAGCTTGATCTCAAAGCTAAGGGCCAGCTTGCTTCCAAAAACCACTGATAACAGGCAGGGAGTTCTCGGTACACTGAAACTTCTCAGACCAGGACCCTCCAGGAAGCATTCTTTGCACCACAACTGATCCTCCTTAGGAAAGGAAATATGCAAAGCTTGGCTTATACACATTTTTCACAGTCCACATCTTGTTTTCTGCCGAGTTATTTTTCACTGGCAACTACAGCTGATATTCAGCCTTTAAAAACATTGTTATGATTAACAACTAAATCCCCACAGAGAGTTCCCACCCAGATGAAGCTGTGACATCTCCTTATACTCAAAACTCACCTCACATTTTATTGCTGTACTCTTGGACTCCATACACAGTCCTAATGAAATCCATGCACATTTCCACACCCCCAATTCCTCTAACCCATTTTCTCCTACTTTCCCCTGTACACTTGTGACCAAGTCTGAGCTCTGGAGCTCACCTCTCTGCATTCTAGTTTTCCAAGTTCACATTTAATAGAATTAAGCCTGCTTAGCCAGATGTTTTGTAAAACCAATGATGAGTTAGGACATTTTTTTGACACAGGTATGTTCTCAATAGAAGATTAAGAAATCATCAAAACCTTTTCTTTTCTTGTAATTAGAGTTTCTTAAAAGAAAAAGAAACCAAAGATTTGCCATGAACTCTGATTCCAGCTCTTGGGGTTTAAAGAGTTAATTTGTGCACAATATTACCACATTACTTTAAATCAAGAGATTTAATTATTAGACACAAACATATGAATCACTTCAAAAGTATCTATACTGTCTGTCCTGTCTTGGAAAGATGCAAAGACAACCCTACATTCAACTCTCATTTAATATTTATCAGACTATCTGACTTCAACTAGGCCTTCTGAAATGAGAGAACCGAGGGCGGGGGAGACCAAGCCAACCCTATCGGGGGCCCAAATCAGCCCGCAGTGTTCCACCAACTAAGGAGAAGGTGAATGCCTTCTGGATTTCTTTAAATTCAACACGTAAGAATTTCAGACAAAGAAAAATTAAAACTTGTTGCTTACTTGTACGTGTGTCCTGTTATTTCATTCCTGACCATGACACAATCAACCAGCCACTTGGCCAGCAGCCCTGAGTTGTCATGGCCAATCTGAACGGTCGTCAGCTTCCCTAAGTTCTGGCACTGAAATGAGTAACAGTTTCTACTTAATTTAAAAAACAACAGACAACACACCCCCCCACCACATGCACACATATGGTCTCAAAATATACGCCTTTATTCAGTTTCCTTTGATTTATAGAGCAAGTATTTTCAACCAAACATGCAGAGCATTTTGAAAAACAGCATAATTATTTTAAGACAGGAGCAAAGAAATAAAATTATTAAAAGATTGTGGAGAGATTATATTCTTTGTTGTGAGCACTCAATATTTCTAAGAAGTATTAATTACAAATTTCTGAGCTAAGATTTTGTAGAAGAAATAGATCTTCAATAAAAGAGCTTTACAAAAATGCATTTAGAGCATACTGACCTTCAGTTCACTCACTCTGCACTATGAAGCAGTCCCTAGATCCTTTATTATTTTCAGAGATTGATATGCTTATTTTGGGCCAAACAAAAATTGCTAACATGAGACTTAGCATCATAGTCACAGAAAAAGGAGAACAAGGGGCTGTGAATTCCACTGCTCTACGTAACTGTAGGCAGCAACATCTGTTAACGTCACCTAAACACTTCCCTTGCAAGACCTTGGTTTTCATTGCTTCTAATACTGCCAAACAAGCAGCTTGGGCTGACATTTTCCATAGTGGGTGGCTACCCAAGTTGATATTTTAGGAAAGTTTCAGAAAAAGGAATAATCCAGAACAGCATTAATATGGTCCTTAGAAATATGTCATTTTGTTTGTTAGAAGCCTGGAGATCTTTTCTGCAAAATGGTAGTAATTGAATGAGAAGCAGGCATTTATCTCAAAAATATCCTCTCTGTGTCAAAATCTACCTATATTTGGCAATAGGTTTCTTTTGCTATTGTTGCTGAAGGTCAGTCTGCATACGCTCAGTGAATGCAACCTTAATTTTAGCAGCAGATTTTCATATAAAATCACTCCTTAATGGATATAGTACAGCCCAGAGGGAGCTGCAGGAGCTTGATGGGGCTTTCCCTGCAATTCCCGCTAGCAGCTGCTCTGGTGTGGCACCGAGCCAACCTGTAATTGATGGGCGGGAAAGCAGAGGGGAACGTCGGGAAACCAAACCTAGAGAGAAAACTCCAGCAAGCTCAGAGAAGGGAACCCGGTGGGGATGGCAGCTCTTCGGTTTTCCAGGGGGCAGCACCTGAGCCTGAGGTGTTGAAGAGCTCAGGGGTTAGACTGGCTGGTTGGAAGGAGAGCAGTAATGCTGGACAAGGAGCTGGAGCAGGAGAAGAAATCTGGAACTAGACAGATGCAGAAAGGGACCTGGGTAGTGGTAAGTGGAAAGATGGACTGGAAGAAGGCAAAAGAAACTTGGAAGACAGATGAGGAGTTGGAAATGAAGGGTGAAAGGGAAAAATAGGCAAGGAGGCATGGAAGGGAATGAGATGTGGAAACCGACTGGCTAGGTGAGGAGTCCTGGTCTGGGACAGGGACGGCAGTGAAGCCTGTGGTTAAAAGTGTATGTGCTTACAGGAAACCATCTCACACAGGAGGGGCAGGCAGCACTACTTTCTTGTACACATTTGAATCTACAGTGACCTTAAAAATGGGGACAGAATCTGAAATGCTCTGCTCTTAATAACCCCTGACCAAATTAATGTTTATTTGGAAGCATGTCTCAAATCGAAAAGTAAAATGTGAAGAGCATGTACTCACCTCAAATGTCATTTCTAGGTGATTTTTAGGAATCTGCATTACGCCAGTATCTCCTAGTTCTCCTGACACACATATCCACGGGTTTGATGTGGTTATTGCATTGCTCAGTTTTTTGATGGGAATTATCACTGACCTGTAAGGGATCACTGAGAACAGGGTGGGGAAGGTGGGGGGGAATGTATGTTGGTCTTGATGTCTTGTTTTTTTTTTTTTTTTCCTCTTACAGTAAACGCAATTTCTGGAGCAAAGCATGCACCCCTTCCACTTGAAGGCAAGTTCTTGTCCCCTGTCTCAGCAAACAAACAAGGAGAACCCCTCGTCCCCTGCGCTCGGAGGGGGCGGCGGTGCCGCACGGTGGTGCTGCAGTCCCGCAGCAGAACCCGCAGAGCGGGGGCAGCGCAGGGACCGCTCCGGAGCCTGCCCAGGGGAGGAACCAACCCTCCTGCCGTAGGATCTGGGAAGGAGGAGGGGGTACACGGCAGAAAACGAGGGAAAGGAATGTCAGAATCATTGAACAGTCTGGTTCGGAAGGCACCTTTACAGGCCATTTAGTCCAACCCCTCTGCAGTGAGTAGGGACTTCTTCAGATAGATCAGTTTGCTCAGACCCCTGTCCAACCTGATCTTGAGTGGGGCAAGGTTGGAATGGGGCATCCACAACTTCCCTGGGCAACCTGTGCCAAGGTTTCACACCCTCAAGGTAAACAACTTCTTTCTTATTGCTAATCTAAACTGACCCTCCTTTAATTTAAAACCATTACCCCTTGTCCTATTGCAACAGGTAAATCATAGAATCAGCCAGATTGGAAAGGACCTCTGAGATCATCAAGCCCTTGACCCACTACCACCATGATTACTATATTATGGTACTAAGTGCCACATCCAGTCTCATCTTAAAAACCTCCAGGGACAGAGAATCCACCACTTCCCTGGGCAGCCCATTCCAATGCCTGATTACCCTCTCTGCAAAGAATTTCTTCCTAATATCCAACCTAAACCTACCCTGGCAGAGCTTAAGACTGTGCCCTCTTGTCTTACTGCTGGTTCCTGGGAGAAGGGACCAACCCCCACTTGGCTACAACCTCCTTTCAGGTAGTTGTAGAGGGTGATAAGGTCTCTCCTGAGCCTCCTCTTCTCCAGACTAATGATAAATTATAAAATGTTTGTCCCCATCTTTCTTATAGGCCCCCTTTAAGTACTGAAAGGCTACAGGAAGAAATGCTGGCATGGCCAAAGTCTCAAGTATGATGTGTATCTGTGGATATCCCCCCATTTGTTATTCTTATTCTTTTGCTTTTAAATCTGTACCATCTATACATGCTTAAGACAAGGACTGCCACCCACCCCAATTTGGATTTGACTCCTGATACTGCACCTCTAGCACTGCAGGATTTTCTCTCTCCTTATGTTTCACAAGCTGCCTTTTTGACTGGGGAACCTAAGCCAACCTTTTTTACTTTTGTGTGCCATCCAGTGGTACTGCACTCAAAAAAAAATACTCAAATTCCAAGCACTTGTCCTGCAGGGAAGAGCTGTCAAGCCGGATGCCCCACAGAAGTAAGGTAATCAAGGATGAATAAGTCTCTTTGCGGTGTGTTAGTTCTGAGGGGATTTCTTGCTTTAAGCGGAGAAAAAGTAGAATGAGTGCCTGCTTTGACAGCCACGTAAAACTTGCTTCACTTCACTCTGAACAGGCAGGGAAATGAAGACTAAGAACTGCCCAGGTGAATTCAAATAATTAGGTCATCTCATGGGATCCTGCCTTTTCCACTTTCTCCAGTGTTGGAGAGAGAAAGATTCTTTTTCAGATATCAATCCAATTTCTGCTCTCCTCCTTAAAAGAGAGGATGAGAGACGGAATCTTTCTGGCATTTAAGGGCAGACAAAAAGATTTAAAATATACAGTGGAGCACAAAGTCCCTTGTACTTCACCCTCCAATCTTCCATCTCCTTCTCAGTCTGAGGAGAGCAGGTTGTTAGGGTGCACGCTAAATGCAAGACCAGAAAGAAGCATTAGGATGTAGAGGACTTGTCTGGGAGGGAAGATGAAAGCAACTATACAGAAAGCAGCACTCTGCTGATTACTCTCCTTTGTGCAAAGCTCTTATCCAGAGCTCTCCCATACAACCTTGCCCCTCCCGTTGGTTTCCCAGAGCAACACCCAGCACCTGTGAGCCCCGCAGCAACAACCAAGGTTTCCAGATAAGGGCTCAGCTACTCAAGCACCAGCAACACCGTCTCTTACAAACTGTGACAGCAATTGGTTTTTATTCAGGGGGAAAAAAAATTGATTCTCCAACTCACTGATTGTGGTGAAGACGCTTGTGAAGCAGAAGTAATCCACAGCGTTGAGCGAGAGCAGGTGATACAGAAACTGTTCCCGTTCTTCCTCGCAGCGCAGGAAAGCGTAACGCTTGTAAAGTTTCCTGGTGGAAACAAAGACATTGCATTTTTTTGTTGCTGTTGTTGAAAAAAGCACCACGTGTCTTAAAACGTGTTTGAAGCTCAAAAATATCAAATGAAGAGTGGATCCTAAGGGCAGGTATGATTCCCCATCAACACAAGCTGCTAGAAACCCCGAGTGGCTGTGTAAGTGTCCTACACGTCTGCGCTGCAGATCACTTCCAACTCCACACTCCCACAGCTACAGAGTTCATCTCAGTTTTGGGTTTGCTGCAGGGCACAGATATGAACCAACACTACTCACAGCAGCAGACCTGGACCAACATAACAGCAACCCCATTTCTTCCCCAGACCTCCCCCACTGTAGAATGGTCTTGTCTAATCTTCTCCTCCATACTGTGACAGAGGAAACTCAGCCGAAGGCACCAAGCAGCAGCTGGGGTCCTCCTACCACTCTCTCGGTTCAGGGACCCAAGTGTACATCACCAATTGCCCTGAGCAGTGCAAAGGCACACCAGGAATTAAACTGCCCCTGCTCTGAGACAGCACAGAGCTTGTGACAAGGCTTGTAGTCTGAAGGGAACAGACTCCAGAAGAACTGCTGAGGTAGGTAGATGGAGATGCAACTTCAGGAAAAGACTTGCCTGCCACTGTGCCTTTAGTTGAACTTCCAAGAGGTGACTGCCTCCAGTTACTCCTCTTTCTTCCCACTAGCAGAGTATTTGGTAGCTTTTGGCATAAATCATGCGTGTAACTCATGACAGAGCCAGAACTACCTGCAACAGCTAGGATGTTTACTTTCCTAAAGGTTTGGGGGTTTTTTGCTAAATACGTTATTTTGAGAAATTGAAGTCAGGGGACATCTACACAGGCAATCTTTAAGTGCCTGTGCTTGTAAAAGGAGGCAAAGCTGGGAGAGCAGGCTTGGAGGTCTGGCCTCTGACCCAGCTCATGGGCAGTCAGGATGGAGACCTGTGCTTGGCTTGAGTCAGCCTAAGGCAGGGCTGCTGTGAGATGGGGCATTCCTTTCCTTGCTGCTTCATTTGCACAAGACACAGTGAGTGCAGGGCTGTGATGTGGCTTGGATCAATGCACTAATCTGACCACGACCTAATGCTTCCTTCCTGAAAATTGTGATGGGTTTTCCATGCACATGAGCAGACTTCTGCTCTGCTGGGTGGGCAGTACCTCCTCCCCCAGCTACCCTCTGGCCTTCAATGACTTCTAGCTGGAAACCACAGTACCCAAACAAGATGTGTGGCTGTGCCACAAGCAACAGCACCTTGAGACATCGCTAAGGCAGACATGAAAGCAAAGCACTGAGAAAAGGAGCCAGCTTACTTTGCAAGTGCCTGGTTGGAAAGCAGCTGCTTCAGGTGCTGAGACAAAAGCTTCTTCTCCAGAGAAAGCCTTATCCAGGCTCGGGCTCGCCCCACATCAGTCTTTATCTCACTCATATTCTGAACATGCCTGAAATGTGTGGGAAAGAAAATAAATAGATGAATCATCAAAATTCTACAAATGGCAACATCCTGTGCGATGCTGCAGCTGAACTGGAAGATGTCTTCTGACATCAGTTCTACAGAGACCCCCGGCAGGACCCCTCAGAACCCTTCACTGTGGCACTGAGATCCCTGGTAGCCCCAGACTGGCACGAGGGCATGGGGCAGCTTTTCCCAGTGCACTACAGCCCAAACCAGATGCTCTGTGTTTGCTTGGCCAAGCTAAGGAGGAGTAAATCTGCTCATGCCCGCACTGCTGGAAGTAGATGCCCTCATGGACACTGCTAACACATAAAAAAAAGCGGCCACCTCGTGAGATCCAGTTATGTCACAGTTGCCCCCTCAAGCTGCTAAATCAAAAGGGTGCATCTGGGAGGACAGATGACAAACATGTATCCTCAGAGTCTCTCCAAACCACAGTCTACTTTGAAGGCTCTTGCAAACCCCTTGAGGGCAGCAGCAATAGGAAATCTAAGAAAAGGAGGACTGTTGGGGCAAAAACAGCAACAGGAAGCTGCAAGCAGAATCACATTTTCAGAGATATAAGAGGCCCTTGTGTAAGAGATAATTTGAACAGCCTTCCCCGTGCTTCATCTGTAGGAAAGCAGAACTGCTTCACAGGGGCTTTCTTCTATGGTTTTGCTTTTTTTTTTTTTTTTTAAACTTCCCACATTTCAGTTTGGAGAATGCTAGAAAACTCTAGTTTCAGAGCACAGGGAGTTTTGGAAGAGGAAGAGAGCAGCCATGGCAAGGCTAAGCTGCTTCGAAAAACCCCCCACTTGGTTAAATAAACAACAAGAAAAATGAGAAACAGTTTCCAGCATCAGAAAGAAAAGGCTGCAATTTCTTCATTTTCATGCAGTTTGCATGTTAAGTGCACAGGTGATTCCGCCCTTCAAATCTCTGTGGCAGGCTCCAAGTACCATCAGCTGAAGTCTGAACTGATCTCTGCTGCGATTTCCCGTCCAACTCCTGCATCTTCCTTGACAGCCCTCCACGCATTGCTGAGTGCTAGGCAATATTTACTCCAAAGGAAACCCAACAGAGTCATGCTGTGACTGATGCTTTTTACATTGACTACTACAGTCTCACTGTCTCCTGCTTTCCCCCATCTGTTACACCCAAGCGTGTGCCTTATGTTATATTTAGATCCTGCATTATTTGAGAAAAGTACTCTCTTGTTTATAGAGCCTCTAACGTGACAGGCCCTGGACCTTCAGGGCAAATTTGCAAATACAACTTAGTGCTGTCCAGAAATACAAGTTCACTCTGCACAAATGAAGCGGATACCGGACACAGTCCAGCTACACTGCTCTCCATCAGGCTGCCCCACTTCTCAAAATACAGGTCTACCTTTACAATCCAAGCTGAGGTGTCTGTATCACGCGGTTCAGTGCTGTACATACACATCTGAACCACCATCAATAGGAGTGATGGTAGCTTGCCAGTGGTGAAACCTAGGTTACTTAAAACCTCTTAAAAAAAAAAAAAATCCTATTTTGTTTAAAGGAAGCTTCCTCCTGTTTCCTAACACACACATGGGTAGTTTTCTGATGGACCAGATAAGTTCTAATTCTTGGTGAGCTGTAAAACAAACGCAGGAGGGCACATTACACTCACACACACGTCCTTGCCCTTTATCATCAAGCTCAGCAGCCTCCCTTCGTCAGCAGCGATGCCTACCATCTGAATTGCTGCCCAGAGCCTTGCTCCTGGCACTGAAAATCCCTGGCTCAGGATGTGGCAGCCAGTGTCAGACCTTCCAACCCAGACAGCTGGACAGCTGATCCGGAGTCCTTGAGAAACTGGATGCATATTACACTCAACTACATCGTGTTGAGACACTCTTCTCAGACATTTCAAGTCTTTTGAGACGGGAAGATCAAAGCACAGACTATCATCTCCCTCCCTCCCCTTCCCCAAAGTGCTTGACTTGAATTACATCTAATATGAAACAGCGAGCAGAATATGTTATTTCACTGTGAGAAGATTCAAGTACAGATAGACTCAACCTTATTCCATGCATGCTCTGTGCCTCTTCATTAACTGTTTCTGGCTCAGACTAGATTAGCATTAATTCCGCATTTGGGAAAAATAAGGATCTGCAACCATGCAGATTGACAGAGACATTAAAAGCATCCACTACTCAGTCTTGGTCTTAGAAAAAGCAGAGTGTAACAACAGAGCATTCAGGAACCCAAATTTATTTCACTCTCAGCTGTGAGAGTCAGAACAGTTCTATTTTTATCAGTGACCTAAGCACAAGCACTGTGTGCTCAACACTGTGCAGCAAACACTTCTTGTCAGAGCACTGAACAGCCATTTCAAAGCAACTCCCTTGGCTGGGACTTGCTTTTAATCCCATCAATAATAACAAAAAATCTATTTACCCTGTCTAATGTAAGCCTGGGGTATGGCAGGACATACCCTCTATAAACAGCTGTGCTGACAGAAGAGGTTACAACAGCTCAGAGCTGCCACGTTCTTAAGGATGGTGTGCACACTTCCCATTCCAGCACCACCAGGAACGAGCCACACTAGCTCATCCCAGGTAGGCAGCAGGTCTTGGCTAAGCCTTCTTTTTGACCACAGCAGATAAGGCATCATTGCTGTGGGCCCAGTTCCCAGCTCACATCCTCCACTTGCAAGTTCCCTGCAGGAGGGGAGGCTCAACACGGGCATGCAAGCAAGCTGATAGCAAGGAGGAACGTGCCCGAAGGGAAAGGATCAAAAACCTGAACCCAGCTGGACCAAAGGTTTCGGGGAGTTGCCTTGGTGTTGACTGGTTGAGTTGGACGTGCAGCAATGTGCCTGAGGGCTGAGGCCATGCTGGAAGCAGGTTGCAGCAGGAGTCTGATGGGAAGCTAGAAGAGGGGTGGGAGAGACGCTGCAGATCCTCACCAGGGGAGAAGCTGAGGGGCATACCCCCAAACACGCTTGTGCCAAGACTCCATGCACAAAGCCAAAATAAACACCTTGAGCATCTTCCTTACCACATGTAAGATGCCTGGCTTTGCAGGGGAGGCAGAGGACACACAACTTTACCTGTAGCACAGGCTTGTAGCACACTCAGAGCATGACTGTGACTCAGCCCTGCTTTTTAAGTTGTTTACATAACCTTGCATGAGCCATCAAAAACAAGCCATGCTTAAGGCAATGCTTATGCTTAATCCTCTAGCCATTAGTTCAGTTAGCACTGCAACCCCAGCAATTTAACAATTACCCATCCTTCTAACTTCTGCCTGAATCTGTGTGTGCAAACAAATATTAAGTGGCATTCCCTCCAAGCAGGAGAAAGTATGCCACGAGATTACAGATGACAAATTCAACTCACCATCTGCCCGGCATTTTCCATGGCCAGAAGTGTTTGTGCACTGTCACGAATACCCAAGATATTACAAAAGGTAACGTTCTGCTTCTGTACTTTTTCTCTGCAGAGCAGCAGAAAGAATTTTGTGATCCAAGCAAGAGAGCCCAGATCTGTGCCGGGCTTTCATTACTCCAGTGGAAGTATGTGGAAGACAGAACCCCTGCATGCAGCAGTCAGCACACACAGCCTCCTCTGTCAGCAATCCCCTCCCAGCATGTGAGTTTCCGCTCCAGATCCTCCTTCATCCTTTCCTCAGACTGACCCTCTACATGCCTGTCAGCCTTGCAGGACTGAATTAAGTAGATAGCTGCCACATCCCATGAGAGGGATGCTAAAATGACAGACACATGTTCAAAATGACCTCTTGGCACCATACTCCTAATTACACTGTATATATTCTCTCTCCCACTTTTGCGTGTTGTTTTAGCCTTACGTGACATGTCATATTCTTCAAAATCAGAGCACAAGACTCACACTATGTAGCATCAAACAAAAAAGGTTGCACACTGTAGGTTGGAAGTACAGTAATTATCTGTCAGAAAGTCTTGACTAATCTGTGTGATCTCACATCAGAAAATATATCTGTATCAATACACACAGTACAAATCACATTGCTGTAATCACGGTTTTGTGAGCTTGCTACAATTAATCTTATTTTTGCCATGTTTTTATGTGGGAGGAGGACATGGTATTACGAGAAGTACTCATCTTGTCTCACACATTAAAGTGCCAGCAATTGTTAGCAGCTCTTTACAGATGTGCATTATCGCGTTACTTCTCCTCTCTCTTCATGGTACATTCAGCCCACTGCAATCCTTAACCCCAGCAAAACAAGGGTCAAAAAAGTAGCTTGACCTGGCAGTGGCTTGATAAAGAAGATGCCCTGAAGAACTTCTGCCTAGTGCTGTCACACCAGTCTCCACCTCTTCTTATTCTCTAATCCTTATGGTTCCAAACCAACATTGCTTGAATAGGTCTCCATAGCCAGGCTGTGGTCTCCTGCACAGCACCTGCCTTAACTTCACATCCTAGCTTTAAACTCACTGAAATTCTAAATTTGAATACATGTCTAAATTTGTTCATTTATTACTATTTGCCATAAAATGCTAGTTGAGAAGAAGAACATTGCTCAGGCATTGTGAGCAAGTTTTTAGGTCCCTTTGCTTTGTTTATCAACTGTACTTGCTCAGTCAGTAATATGAAACAAACAAAAAGAAAAAAACTCAAAGAACCGGGGAATTCAACATATCTGCTGTCATTTGTAGAAGCTGGTTTTACTGCTGGAAGAATCCCACCCAAAGAAAACAAAAATCACAGTAAAACGTGTGTGGCTTTCACTGCCTTTTGGATAAAATAGATCAAGTGAACACACAAAAAAGGTTTTTCAAAACAGAAGGGCAACATGCCATAGATTTCAATGTGGGCTGAAGAGAAGGTTTAATTCTCCTTAGCCTTTTTAGACCCAAAGCCAGTGAAGATCTTCACCTTATGCTACACAACTAAAACCATAATCAATGCTTTAGGAAACAAATTGAGTACCTCATATCTTGTATCAGGGAAACCCTCAATGAAGGCAGAGTAATTCCTGTATCAGACTTTCGTCTTTCTGTTCCAAGAGCAACTACAATGGAGAAAACACATGAAGTTAACACAACAGTACAGTAATAGTCTGCAATGCATTTGTTTCACATACAGCTGACAACAATCATAAGTGGCTGGTAACTGTAGTGTTTCTGTGCTTTATCATTAACTCTATCCTGGAAACATAAAAGCAGACAAAATGAAAAATGCTGAATACATTACCTATTCCTTCCTTAATCCAGCACTGAATTCAGAGATTTAGCTTCCTTTTTCCTATGTGAAATACATTAACATAAATCTGTACAGCGATGAGCTTTATTAGTAAGAGATGTTTCTGTGGAAAGCTCCCAACTGAGAAGTCAATAAAATTAAGCTACAGTAACATATTCAATGCTAAGAATGCCACACATTTCTGTGCTCTGCTACTCTGATCAAACTGCTTTTTGGTGACACATTTTGCTCTCAGGAATTTGTGCCTGCCAGCCAGATTGTTTAGTGCATTACTCATTGAAGCTTATTAACAACTCTTTTCAGGAGAGAGACTAGTTTTTCCATAAATGCATCTTTGAGGAGTGATCATACAAGTTCCCATCAGCAGGATTTGGATCGGAGAGTCCTTGGAAGATGACCAACTAAAGTTCAGAGACTTTCAGAGCAATACCCCAGCCACTGGGCAGGGAGATCTCCAGGTCATCAGAAAACCAATCTCTCTCACAGCACAGAAGTAATTTAGTGATTGTAAAGGGCCAAGCCAAAGCTTAAACTGAGCACCTGGACTGATGTACAGAGATTAATTACACAGTTCCTGAACTGTACCATCCACCAGTATGAAGATTTAGTGAATATGGAGTTATTCACATTGGCTTCTGAGAGACAGATTATGCTCACTAAAAGAAAAATGTCAGCTGTCTTATCCCCACTTCCACGTTTTGAGCTTCTGCAGAAATCATCTCTTGTGGAAGCACTGCTTCTCACACCTCACTCAATGCTGATTAAAGGGAAATGAAGGCAGTGAACATACACCAAGTGATTTCCAGACAAGGACAGTAACTACGTTTCCTTTGCCTCCAATGATTTCAATCTATTTAGTCCAGACAGCAAGACATCCTCACAATGATTATGAAAAGTCTCAAAATGTAAATGTGATATTAGCAAAGAAATACACCAAAAATCCTGCATGGGTTTCACGAGGTTGCACTGTTCCTCCCACGCCCAAGTTCATTCACTGTGATGGACCCTTCATGGAGCCAATTGCCAAGTACTCACCTGGTGACTCTGCACTGTGCTCCTGCTTCTCTTCTCTCTCTTGGTACTGAAGCAAATGGGACCACAGAGCAGATTTCCCCTGAAAATGGAATACATAGTATGCAGCTTTAAATAAATTCAGGTAAAAGAAAAGAGGTCAATATACACAGCAAAAAAATGGAATGGCCTTTAAATGGGTAAAATATTCAGTAATGACAATCAATCCTCTCTTGGATCATGAAACCTTAGAAAAAGGAGAGGACCATCCCACTGAGCTATTAGTCACACCACCCACCTTGTTTCTTTGTCCTCCCTCTGGGTTTCCCTTGTGAAGGTTGAAAGAGAAGAAACCAAACACGTACTTACAACATCACTGCAGTTTCCAGAGGCACCTCGCAAATTGAAAAAGAAAAAAAACCAAACAACCCAAACTCCCCCCTCCAAAATCCCAAACACCCAAAATTCCTCAGCCTTGGCAAGATATGAACCAGGGACTCTGAGCCCAAAGATACCTCCCACTTTATGTTGGAATGACACCACTGAGTAGCAGCTTAAAAGATAACACTCAGTGTTTGCTAGAGTAGTGTACACACAAAGTCCCAAGTTTCCAGCTACCAACCTGCTTGACCTGCAGACCATGGCTCCAGATCCTTTCTAGCAGATCACAGAGGCTAGCAATCAATGTATTTTCCTCCAGGCCTGTTATGTTGGCTTCTCCATGTCCCAGCTCAACTGCTTCGTGACCCATCTTCTCTACCAACATGCGTTTAGTCTATAAATTAAAAAAAAAAAAAATCCCCAAAGGTTTCTAAGAATATTATCCAGCAAGGGACAGAATTTATAGATGAGTTCACTTAAACATGCTTAATACAGAAACCATTGCCAATAGTCTGACCAGAGAAAATTTAAATATCTTTACAGGGTTTGTAAATTAACAAGAATAATTGTATTTAAAAAAGCTTGCATGATTACTTCAAATCACAGAATATCCTGAGTTGCAAGGAACCCACGAGGACCATCAAAGCCCAACTCCTGATCCTGCACAGGACAGCCCCAAGAATCACACCATGTGCCTGAGAGCATTGTCCAAACACTTCTTGAATTCTTTTTGAACTGCTGCTGTGACCACTTCCATGGGAAGCCTGTTCCAGCTGTCCTATTTCTATACCCTTTATCTATTGTCCTATTCCTACACTGCTGATCTATTACCAAGCAGAGTATAGATTACAGAATACGACAATAGGTACATTTTCAGTCTGACTCACTTTCTGGTTTTCTTCTTGTTACAGCCATTAAAGTTTAACTCTCAGGTAATGCAGTATAACACCAACTGCAACAGACACAAGTTATACTTTCACTCCTTTAATATTAGAAACTGCTATTCTTCATTTGCTCTGCATAAACAGCATGCACAGGTCACACATGCTGAATTCTTCCCTTTTGACTGAGGGTCTCAAGCCCGTTCTGTTTAGGCTACACATAAATATGAACAATTCAAGGAAATCCTCCTGGAGATGTCTGATCATGCTGATTCTCCTTCCTGTCCTCTCTACTCTTTCCATCAACTTCCACTGCATAAACAGAACAGCGAGGACACGTTCCTTTCTTTTCTAGCTGTTGAAAAAAGTCACACTAAAGTGATACGCTAATGTGCATATGTAATACTAATGTAAACGTTATACTAAAGATATATCCATGCTGGTAGATAGTCTGGTATTCCAACAGACTAATGTCATTCCAGCTGTGAATCAGATCACCATCTGCAGATGCTATTTAGGCTCAGTGTAATCAAGGGGAAGGAGCACACAGGGGACAACCTACCTTCATGCGACATTCCTTCAGTAACCCTTCCACAAACTTCCAGTTGGTTTGTGCAATCACAGCCGGAGAGAGGTCTGAGAGCTTGGGCTGCCTTAAATTTTTTCCTAAACTCCTTGCCTCTTGCATGTATTTCTAAAAATAAAGAGAATCATTTCAGATATTACCAGTCAGAGAGACTCTCCTCACCCTAATCCTAGGCGAGCAAATGCTGGTGGAAAGGAACAAGCTAGTGTTAACCTAGGAACAAAATCCTAATTTGTCTGATGTTTAGGTGTCAGGCTGGAGGAGTGGAGTGATCCCTTCTGACAACAGAAAAAGCAAGATACTTTCCTGTGTGGTACAGAATCAGTCAACATTAGCTAGTGAACTGTGCTGTTAGCCACCAGCATCAAGTTAGGCACAGCAAGCGCATAAAGTGCAACACCTTCCTTCAGCAATAAAGTCAAAACACCCAGTACAGTTTCTTTCCACTGCTGAGCCTCACTTAAAAAAAAAAAATTAAAAACTGTCTAATTTGTGACCAGATTATATATATATAGTATATATATATATGAATTAAAAAAATCCTTTGAAATTAAATTAGAAGCAGGAATACACGTAGTGAAGGAGAAAGATTTCATCTGTTACTTTTCATCTGGATAGTTTATGTGGGAAAAATGAGACTTGTCTTTATTCTCAATTAACTTCCCGATTACAAGTGAAGCTCATTTTAAACAAAACTGACAGTAAGGATCATTCATGTTTTTATATGGGGTGGTAATTGTGAAGTATGGACAAAAAAAATCAGCATACTCTTTAAAGAAAGATCCAAGCTATAATAATAGGCTTTCAAACTTTCCTGCTCCACTGCCTTGTCTTCTGTATTTTTCAGTTTGGTTTTCATTTTGTTAAGCCAAAAAACACACCCACACAAAAAAATAAAAATCAACCAGTTACCTCTGACCCCAACATCAGTGAGAGGGCTGAGCAAGGCTGAGAAGTGGGCCACTTGTTCAAGCATTATTCATAAAGTTTTTGTTAAAAAGAGTAAAATAATAGAATGATCCCTCATAAGAGTCTTGAAACACAGTACTCAGAGCCTGGTGTGGGAATTCTCTGTTTCCACAGTGTGTTTTCATCCAGTTAACGATGCCTCTCTGAGGGATGGTATGTGACAATGATCACTCTTTCCCAGAGAGGGCTGGATCACATCTCCCCAGGGATTTAGTGCTGCTGCTGGCTGGGTTTTCTGGGGAACTGAGAGGTCACTATGGCTGCTGAACCCTTGGAGCTTTCTGCCTGGGCAGAAAATTTGTATCATAGAATCACAGAATGGTTTGGGTTGGAAAAGACCTTAAAGATCATGTAGTTCCAACCTTTCTGCCAGGGCATGGACACCTTCCACTAAATCAGGAAAAGCAAAAGCAAAATCCAAACACGTTGAAGATGACTGAAATAGCTCACTTTTTTTTTTTTTTTTTTTTTTTTTTAAGAGAGTACAGTTTTTCTGACAGAACTGGATTTTTCCAACACAAAATTTGGACAAGAACCACTTAATGTCACCCCAACAAGAGGTCAGACAAGAACGTAGGGTTCTGCTATGAAAAGCTGTGTTCAACAGAAGTGCTCAGTTAGGTGATTACAGTTTCACCAATACTGTAAGGATTTTAAAATAGCTGAAAAACTACAGGTGGGAATAAAAAATGAAAAGTCACAGATAATGAAAGCATGTTGTCCATCAAGCAATCTCACAAGTGACTTCCATCCAACTCAGTGCAAAAATTAACAGCAAAACCAGTGAAAAAAGTAATAAAGGCAATATGTAACTAGGAAATCTAATATTTCTTTTTAAATGTAAAGGGATAAATAAAATGCAAAGTGTGGTTATAGTCTGAAGAGTACAAAACATGGATAACCTTAATTTTTTCATTGTATATCTTGTTATTACACTAAAATAAAAAAAAAAATAGTATTAGTTCTTGTAAGTTCACAAGAAGAACAAGGGTAGGTTGAGAGAATCAGCTGATTGCACTTTGCCTGTTCATCAGCATTCACACACCACTACCCTCTTCCACAGTGGGATGCAGTGATTCAGCAGCCAGAAAGTGATAATTTTTTGGATTTGACACCAGCTGAGCAACATGGGGGAAAAAAAAAAAGTGAAACAAATTCTTGTCTTTCAGCCTTGGAGCCATTATGTTTGCCAGGGAACTGGAGGGGAAGCTCATTTCCAGCTACTTTTCTGATTATAACCACACTTCCAAGCGCTATAGGGACGTGCTCCTACTCTACAAGAAAGGGAGAGGTTTGAGACGCTGTGAAGACAAAGGTTCCTCATGCTAGCAACATCTCAGAAGCAGCTTTCAACAAGAAAAACTAAAACATACCAGGCAGCATTCAGAGAAGGATTTTTTAGGAGGCCGTGCAGGAGGGGGTGGTCCCTGATCCCACTCCCAGAAGGCCATTGAGTTCTGACGAAGCAAAAGCTCCTCCGATGGCTAAGAGGAGGCAGATGCCCCAATGGCAGAATAGCCAGAAGGAAAGAGGAGACAAAGCAAAAGAAGCATGCATATGATCCACAGCCAAAAAAAAGAAAAATGTAAATACATGACAAAGTATTGAAAAGGCTCTGCTGAGATACACACAAGGCACTGTTTAAAATATACTTGCAAAGCCACATTAGCAAAAATAGCAACAAATACGTAGAAGTGCTGTTTTGCTGTGTTTCCACTGAAACATCATTTAAAGCTACGGCTGAAGAGTCCACTCATCTGCTCAGGTTCTTTCAGAGGGCAAACTCCAACACTGGCCAACATTATTCAGCAAGATTTACCACAAAACAGCATGAGTGCTTTGTTTTTGCTGGTGACATACAAAAGAAGCACAAGGACATAAATGGAAAAATGTGGCAGAAAATATTTAACGAAGGACAAGGAACTGAAAAGATGGGAAAGAAATGCATGTATGTGACTGACATTTACAAGATGCATGGGAGTTTCCAAGCTTTAGGCATAAAAAGGCCCCAAAGTCTTAAACCTTTCAAATAGGCTTACTCATGTCAGGAATCTACGTAAGAGACAGAAAAAAAAAAATTTCCTTTAAAAAAAAGGGAAGAACCCTGCCTCATTTGCTTCTACAGCACTGACATTTCTTCAAGGACTTGACTTTTCCAGAGACTTCTACCCTGGCCAGAGCTCAGCAGCTGCACTCAGGCAGGCACCAGAACTCTGCTGCCTGCATGCAGTAACATGACCAGGGTCTAAACCAGCAAATAAGCCATTTTTTTCTGATGACAGTGGGGCTGTCTTGTTCCTAAATAATAAAAGCACTTTATTTATGTTGTGTACTTTGAAGTTGTACAACATACACAAGCATCTGTGACAAGCGAAGTGGCATCTAAATGGCTACAGAGACCCAAACAAATATCACAGTAGCCACAAAACTGCCCTAAGCAATAAACATATTGTTTGTCCAAACCTCTACCTCCTGGATCACAGCTTGTGCTGCCCGCAGATGATGCCACCTACCTCCCTCAAATCGTTGTCCAAGCCGATGTGCTCTGAGTGCTGCCGCAGTCGGTCCTTCCTGCGCTGCGTGGTGGTGCTGCGGCTGGCCCAGCGGCTGGCAAGTCAGAGAGAGAGAGAATACACACATGAGCAGGGAAAAAATCAGGAGGGGAAGACTGGTCAGGAGCCAAAGGACACCCAATGGGGCTACAGCAAGAGAAGGAGAAACCCAAAGTCAGACCATGCAGTAAACATGGGTGCAAAGTGGTGCCTGACCTCCCCACGGGAAGCCATCTGGCAGGCAACAGGCCACTGTGCACCCAAGGGACAAAAATCCTGATGGAAACATGCCCACTGCCTGCCATGGTCTCCAGTGAGAGCTCCTGTCACCCAAACACAGGTCATACTGCAACACTGATGCCACCACCAAGTAAACTGCTGTACTTAATTACCGAACACCACTGCTGCATTTGATGAGGTTTGATAAAAGCAGTGCCCGCAGAAACAAACAAAATTACAATGATGTATTTTGAGTCGCAACCTCTATGATTTTCCCTTTTTTTGAGAAGTACTGCTTCTCCTTTCTGCACTTTCAATGGTTCTTCCAGGAATTATTTGAGAGAAATTTCTCATTGCAATAGTAACTACTGTGATATTGGGTGCATCTATGTCTAAAGGCTACAACAACATTGATGTTCCTGAGATTAATCCTGTTGCTATCTTTGCCTTCTGGGGTTTTTTTGCATGAGGTTTCTAAATATCAAAAAAAAGCCTGGGTTTTTTTCCACATGATCAATATAAGTTCCGCCTAATTTTTCCTCATTTGAAGCTGTTGCCTGAAAGCAGCCACCTCGTAACCAGGTTTGAAACTGAGCAACCTTGGATCTCTCAAGTGTCCAACTCCTTTACACCAAATCCTTGAAAACAAAAAATGCTCAATTGATGCAGAGAAAATGAAGTTAATGCAATATTTATAAAAGAAAGATGAAATAACACTGTATAAAGCAACCTATCAAGCATTAAAAATAAGCAGCTTAATGCACACAAAGGCTGTATCTTAAGAATATCACTTGATTACTGTAGTTGTGTTTATTAAACTTAAAATTATCTTTCCAATACAGTTAAAAAAAAGCCTTTAAGAGTACAGCCTTTCAGTCAATTGATGAAGTCACCTGCCTCTCTCCTGCACTTAGAAGGCAAAGAGTGAAACCAAGGTGAAAGAGAACCCAAATCCTGCTCAGAGCAGTGCTCCAACTCCAGTGCCTGGCAAGATGTATGAAAAAGGCTCTACCTACAGGAGAAAACTGTCTGGAAGAATCTAGATGAACTAAATCCGGAAGAACAAAAAGGTTAAAACTATGCCAAAAAAAAGCAATAGAAAGGAGATAACAACCCACACTTACCAATCTTAGCACTTGAGTCAAAGGGACCCTTCAAACCCCATCTCCATCATGGTCCCTCTACTCCAGACTGAAGTGTCCATGCTGGGCACCGTGCCAGAACAACTGCTCTGAGATGGCTTTTTCTATAGGAACTGTGACCAACAGGTAGAGCTCCTGGGGATTTGAGTTCTCTGCCTTTGACAGATCTATACAGAGGGAACCTGGAGATGTCCACATCCAAGACAGACGTGTGTCCTTGGTGAGCCTCTCCACACTGGTGGTATTAGTGAGAACAGCAGTCTCCAGATCCCAAAGCCATCCATTTCATCCAAACAAGAGCATACACAAATAAGATCTGGGATCTGAACTGCTCGGGCAAGGAATTTCAGCTGGTAACACAGGCAGATTCATGTCAGCGGGAGAAAACTCTTGCACAGAGCTGGACTTAGGTTCTGACATGTCTGGCAGACCATTTGGGATGTGCAGGGAGAGAAGCCTGATCCAAGGGAAGTACAGAGATGTGACCTCTGATAAACAAAACCTCCTGTTTCCAGAGAGGACTTTGCATACACATACCTAACTGTCTCCACCAATTCCTCTGGTGGGTCAATTGAAGACTGAATTTTGGCTAACAGGACAGATAAAAAAGGGGGAAAAAAAGGTCATAGGAACTGTAATTTTTATAGACAAACTGAAGTCCCATCCTACCTCCCAAATAACATCAAGGAAACAAGTACAAAGGAAGAAATCTGGGTCTGCATGTAATTATGGTTCTTCACCTCAGCATCCCATACAACAAAGAATTTATTTTTAAAGCAATGTAGCCTCATGTCTCTGGTAACTAAGTGAAACAGCCCAATAGGTGTCTGCACAGCAAATGCTGATACCTTCTCAGAGGAATACATTACTGACATAAGTGTCTCTGCACCTCTGCATAAGTTTTAAAAATAAACTGCCCCTTAGTTTATTAAGTCACCATTTGAATTTTTTTTTTCAGAAGCAATAGCCAAAACCTCATTAGATGACTGAAAGGGGAGAAATAAAACCCTACATTTTAATAATCTCAACAAGTAGAAATGTAGCACAAAACCCCACACCCTTGAACAGAAGATAGCAGACATAAAAGTGACTATAGCTACCCTTCCATTTATTGCAAGCCAGTACTATGCTTATGTTTCACATGACAGAATGCCAATAAAACATTGGAGAGTTAAGCTATAGATCAAACATTACCAATATAATATTTTTCTGCTCCAATTTATATGGTATTTTCTGAACTGTAAACAGAGCTTGGGTGCCTCTCCACCTGCATTTCTGCAGTTACTGGAAGACAAAAGAATTGCTGGAAATGTCCTTTGAGGGAACACGTCTCACCAAAGGTGAAAGCAGAACAAAAGCTACAGAATAATTACAACGACTACACCATCATTAAAGCATTTTCAGTTCATTCCAGTGCTGTTCTTCATCAGGGAGAAGGCACAGACTCTTCTCCAGATTATTAATCAGAACCATTTGAACATTTTAAGCATACAAATGTAAAGATCATTGGATGTTTATGAAAAAAAGACTGCTACTCATTAGCTGGAGCAATTACACACACAGTGAGCTGCATGTTCCTTCTTCCCCAACCTCTAAGCTGAGGTAGAGGAGCTGTTGAGTCACTGGGTGAGGTCTGTGCATTGAAATGCTGCTCTGAATCTCTCTGGGAAATTTTGTGAAGATCTAACAGCAGATAAGCAGGATTAAGCAGCTAAATCTTTTAAAGCCTTTTCTTTACTGGGCCACATAGAATTTTCCCAAAACAATGTTCCAATATAATAACCATTCCCACTCCTCTTACCAGCAGTGACTGCATTTTAAATTACTCTTCCTCTCCTTTCGATCACTCAGAGTGATTTTAAGGTGGATAAAAGCCTATCCCAGCAGCCACACCACCTTCCCTGGGCTGTCCAAATCCCATCCGGATGCTTCTCCTGGCACTGCCATCAGCTACTGCTGCATTCACACCTCAGCCAAAGCAGTGAGCAAAGCTGTACTCCCACCAGCAAACATCTGCTTGTCAGACCTTAGTCTCGGGCTTTTCAGCTGAACCCCTACCACCCACGTCCTTATGGAGCAGGTATCTGAGGAGACCAAGCCCTCCTGGGCTGGTCCCTACCTTCGAGGGATTAGCCTGGCACCTGGGAGTGCACAGAACTGCAGTGCTGCTGCTCAGCCTGGATGCTGCCCAAGTATTTCCTGACCCAAAAAGCACCCTCTCCCCTTTATTTTTTGCTGGTAGAGCCATGAGCATGGACTACAGGCATATTTCATTTATTCCTCACAGTGGAGGTGTTGCTACAAGCACCAAGTCTCTGGGGTCTGAGCAGATGCAGCTCAGGCATGGTGTTGTGGGGAGCCCAGGGACAAACTGCCTATATGGAGAAGCGAAAAAAAACTTGTTTCAGAATGTTTGCCTGTATTTAACTCCCATGTCCACAGATGAATGCTCCTCACCTTCAGGGACTGCGAGAAAGCAGGGATGTTTCAGAGGAGGGATTAGGGAAGACTGTACTCTGTTCAATACAGAGAAATGAAATGAAGATATCTCATACTAAGATCCTTGTAGCACAAAAACAGTGAATTTCAGTCAGTGCTGTTTAATATCAAATGAGACACAACAAGCATAGGAATAGGTTTGCAGAGGTTAGAGGAAATGTAATAGTGACACTTGCAAAAGGAGACACTTAACCTGTGATGCTTAATTTCTATAACAAAAGTGGTAAGGTAGTCAGCATCGAAGCTGGCAGAAACAATCTAGCAAAGCAGCAGCCTCACAGCAGGGACAGGTCACACTGTACTGCAACCATGTGTAGATCTCTCCCTCTCTTCCCCTTTTCCCCCCCCTGCTTTTTAAAGTTCCACAGAGAAATGAAGAAATGATGTCTACCCAAACCAGACATGAGTTTAATAGGCAGGATATACATTGCAAGACAAGAACAGGCTGCTAGAGAACTTCATTCACAGATGGATTTAACCAATATTGCCATCACCACGAAAGTCACTATTGTAATTTACAAGCTACTTACAGTGTTAAAAGCGAGATGGAAGTAGACATGCACTTGTCTATAGGACGGAACCTAAATCTCCTCATATAAACCATCTCATGAGGCAGACTGCTCTTAGGTCTGCAAATCATGACAATACCCATTCTACCTATATACCCCCATCAAAGAGTTATTTGTGTTTCTGTATCCCCAAATTAGCTGTACTACACCCTCCACCAAATCCCCCTAAAGCGTGCATGCAGCCTGCACACATTAAACACACACACACTGCACATGCAAACTGCCTGCGTTCAGATGCAGTTTGTGTGGGACTGCACGGAGATTTCAAGTCAAATACATGTTCAGACCAAACAAACTAAAAGGAATGTCAAAACTGAGCTCCACCTGATGGAGCTCACAGGGCTGACAGGGGAGTCTGCTTCATAAACACTGCACCGTGGTAAGGAGAATGAAGGCTCAGATGGAGACTTAAACACCTTTCCCAGCTCTGATGAAGGGTGGAATAGGAAAGCTTTGAAACTGTTTATCAGATGGACAAAAATGAGCAAAATGCCTTAAAGAGAGTGGTCTTGCACTGACAGGCTGTCTCATCAGTTTATGTGAAAAGAAGTGATTTAAAAGGTGGCACCCACAACTGCCATCCTCTGCAAGGAACAGCGGTAGCAAACTGGCAGCATCACCCCTGG